TTGTATATTGCTGCTAAAAATAAACCCTTTACCTCTTTTTATTAATTTCATTATTATTATTTAATGCTCATTTTTAAAAGAAATATTGAATCATGCTTTATTTGCTATTGCTTTTATTTTGTAGGAAGAATCTTGTGAACTCTTTTGTCTATGGTCTTACTTATGGGTTCTCACAAAGCGTCATATATTTGGGTTTCATACTCACCTTTGGTTTTGGTGCCTATCAAGTGACACGCCCACCAGGCCATATTGCACACGAGTCCTTCTCTGACTTACTGACAGTTCTGATGGCTGTCATCTTTGGTGCTGTAGGTGCAGGGCAGGCCTCTTCCTTTGCTCCTAATTACACTAAAGCTAAGCAATCAGCTAACAGGATATTTGCACTGTTAGACAGAGAACCAGTGGTTGATGGATACTCTGAAGATGGTCTCAAACCAGTTAGTATTTAATACTTATTTATGAACATCCTTTTCATTTTTATTTCTGTGTCTTCTCTACAGGAAAAAGTTGTTGCTCGTATTGAAGTGAAAGACGTTGAGTTTAATTATCCTGCCAGACCTGATGTTCAAGTCCTTCAAGGTCTGTCACTCTCTGTAGAACCTGGCCAGACTCTGGCACTTGTGGGTCCCAGTGGGTGTGGTAAGAGCACAGTTGTCTCACTCATTGAGAGGTTTTATGATCCGTCGAGTGGAAGCTTGAAGCTGGAGGAGCAAGATATTCGGGATTTGAATATACGGTGGTTGCGTAATCAGATTGGTATAGTATCACAAGAGCCAGTATTGTTTGATAAATCAATTGCTGATAATATACGCTATGGAGCTAACTTTAGAGAAGTCACTGATGAAGAGGTCATTGAAGCTGCTAAAGCTGCCAACATACACAACTTCATACAAACACTGCCTCAGGTAAATATGATCATTTAATTGTTCCAAATGTCTTTGATCTTTCTCTTTTTCAGGGTTATGCGACCAATGTTGGGTCTAAGGGCACTCAATTGAGTGGTGGACAGAAACAACGTATTGCTATAGCAAGAGCTCTAGTGAGAGACCCAAAGATACTCCTACTGGATGAAGCTACCTCAGCTCTTGACACAGAGAGTGAGAAGATTGTACA